AAATGTCGGTGTGTGTGAGGCATGGGAACGTCAAGGGGGGGATGAATCATGTACAAAGGTATTGTGTGGAGTGCTATAGTTTATGAAACACTGATTTAAATGGTCATTTCTCAGATCCTATTTTACCAGACTTATTAGCATTTGAAAAAAGGTGAGCACTCTCGCCCCCTTGATGTTCCATCCCTATTTGGCCACCAGGACCCATCTGTACACGCTCCTGGTCAATTCTTCTTCTTCAGTGGTCTTTTTGCTCTTTCTACCACGTCTCCCTGACTCTTAAGTGCTGGAGGGCCCCAGGGCGCTGTTCGCAGACCCCTTCTCTTCTTTGTGGCTTCATCCACTACCAGACCTTGATGTGGAAGTCACCCAGATCTCCGTGCCTCCCACCTGGACCCCTCTCCTGAACTCCAGACTCTGGCCATCTACTTGTCCTCTTCACATAAACATCTCAGAAGTGCCTCAAACTTATAGTAACCAAAACAAAGTTTGACCGCCTCTCAAAAACATACCTTTCCTGCAGAGTTGGCAATTTCAAGAATTGGTACTTCAATTCTTTAAGTTGCTCAGGGAAACCACATTAGAGTTATCTTTGGTATCTATTGGACATTTGTGGACATCTATGACAATCTAGGGGCCCCTATGACATCACTGAGCATCTATGACATCTATGAATATATCCATGACAATCAATGGACATCTCTGACCATCTTTGAATATCTATGACATTTCTGGGCATCTATACTATCCATAGAGTTATCTTTGACATAAATAAGTATTAAGAGCATCTATGACTATAGATGGACCTCTATGACATCACTGGACATCCATGACATCTACGGAGTCCTCCTTGATGTCTATGACACCTATGAGATAAAGGCAGTGAGCTCACACCCAAGTGTATCCTATCATTCCCTTGGCAAATCCTGTTGACCCCACCTGCAAAATGTATCCAGAACCCAACTGCTTCACACCATATTCATCACTGATGCCCTGATGAAGTCTGTTTTATGGACTGAACTGTGTCTCCCAAATTCATTTGTTGAAGCTTTAACTCCCAATGTGACTATATTTGGTGATGGGGCCTTTAACGGGGTATTTAATTTTTTAATGGGGTCATTGGAGTAGGAACCAACATGACTTAAGTCTTCATAAAAAGAAGAGAGACCAGTTATGCATGGGCACAGAGAAAAGGCCACGAGAGAGCAAGAAGGAGGCCATCTGCAAGCTCAGGGACATTTTACATTTGTAACGTAATAATTTGTAAAAATACAGATATTGACAAGTGGGAGATACTGGCCGAAGGGAAGATAAATGCATGGGTGATGGCTGATCATGTGCTCAAAAACCTCACAGTGGTACCCACCTAAGTTAGAGTTCGATGAGAGTCAGAACTTGTAGGATTAGCAGGAGCAGCATGGGTTGAGGCAGGCATGTGAAGAGGAGGGAATAGCCTAGGAA